TGTGTGTGTGTGTGTGTGTGTTGGGATGATAAAAGGATTAGGAAGAAACAAAATGGCTGGAGGGGAAAAGAGAAAAAAATCAGGAGTCTGGAATGCATTTGAAACCAGTGCACATGGAAATAAAGGAAATGATCATCAGAGATCCCAAAATAATTCCACGGTTGTTGTGAATTTGAAATCAGAAACCTTGTCCATAGGATTGAAATGAAGCAGATTACATGGGCAATCAACTCCAGACAGGACCATCACACAATTTATTGGGTGTCCACTTTTATGGAAGAAATTAAAGTCACCATATATAGTGTTCTCTCTCTCTCTCTCTCTCACACACACACACACACTTTCCATTTTATCATTTCAAATAAATCTTGGATGTTCTACCTGGCAGCAATTATACCCTGAGATTTGTGACTTAATGAAAATAAGATCTGGATCCCCTACATTCAAATCCAGTACTTCAATCACTGTATAACATTGTCTTTCATAGTTCACCTGCTTCACATGATTCACTGAAGTAGCATTATATTCCATTTGTTGTTAAGTATGTCCCAAAATCACATAAATTATTAGCTGAGACCATAGAGTTGGAGGGAATAGCTAGACCAACCCTTTTCTTGGTGCAGAAAATCCAGAATTAAAGCATCCCCAGCAGATGGCAGTCCAGAGTTGGTTTGTCCAGAGATGGCAGTCCAAGTCAGGAAGAATTCCCCACCACCTGTGTTTGTTTAATTTGTAATATTTTGCACCAACAGAAAGGTTTACCTAATATTTAAGTAATAACTATCCTTTAGTTAACCAATAACTATCCTTACATTACGTCCTGCCCTTTGAGAAAGCAGAAAAAATGCCACTGTAATTGGGATAGTATTTGACAATATTTGAAGGTTATTTCTCGTCCCCTTTTTTCACAGTTCTACAGACCAAAAATACTTCCTTCAACCTTTTCTCATGGTTTCCATTAAAACTAGATGACATCAATGTTTTGGGGAAAAGTTTAGAAACTACAGACAGTTTTTTGTTCAGATCTAAAAAGAGAAATAAATAAGAAATGGTAAAGCACTTAAAATTTGAGAGCATGGAACATGCTTCCAGATAGTGATTACCCATAATGCTAAATGGAAATCAGCCTCTTGGGGATAAGCTTTGGAATGTGTGTAAACAATGTGTGCACTAAGAAATAACTTTTAACTTTCTAACATTTAATGTTAAAATGTCATTTTAATTTAATGTGCATGTGTGTGTGTGTGTGTGTGTGACTTTGGGTCAGTGTTAACTCCTGATTACTACTTGGACTAGTCCCTGCAGTTTTCTTGGCAACAATTTTTGAAGTGGTTTGTCATTGCCTTCTTCTTAGGACTCAGAAAGAGTGACTGGCCCAAGGTCACCCAGCTGTTTCATGCCTAAGTCGGGATGAGAAATCATGGTTTCCTGGTTTGTAGCCTGAATTGGCTCTCTAATTAGTTTTAGTTAAGGTTAAATATAAATGATCAATTATTTGTCCATTCCAATTGCTAGAAACCTTTGTTAATTGATTATGTTTGTGATTCTTATTGAAAGAAATGGGGATTACTTGTTCATTGTTATGAAGCATAGTGAAAGTACCAACTCTGTAAATTTATATCACATGAAAAGGAAGGTAAAATGAAGGCAAAATGGGCTAAGGACTAGTATGGGTATTTATTTGCTAAGCAATAAATAAACTGTTTACTCCCAAAGGGTGTTGGGAGAAAAGCAATAAGGAGAAATAAAATAATTAATTACAAGTGAAAATAAAAGGAAACATTTGATTAAGCAAGGTGTGTGGTAAAGAACAAACATATTGCTTGAACTAGGATATATCTAAGGAGAATTCAACCAAACAGAAAGATGTGGAAAAGGTTTTAAAATATATTTACATAAATCAAGAATATAATTGTTTTGTATCTCATAATTGTTTTTAATTATCAGAAATAATTGTTTGATAAAACTTATTTGAATAATTATTAAACATAATTGTTTTGTATTTTTGTATACAAAAATGCATAGTATGTTTTCTTTAAAACAATAAAAATTTCCATCAGTCATACTTTCAGTCAGGAGCCATGACAAACTGTAAGGTTGAATATGGGACTGTTTTACTTTTATTGGCAAATGTTTTACTATTATTGGCAAAATAAAACATAGAGTTGTTGAGGAGATTGGGTTAATTCATTATCAGAAGGAAAAATGAAATGCCCAGATTTTATAGAGAAAATTTAAATATTCACATTTGAAAAAGGTTGAGATTTGTTCTTCACTTGTCTTTTGTTAAATATCCTTTCACTCAAGGTGACTAATATAGGCATGGATTCAACTAAAGGCTACTCTGTATGTAGAAAGAAGATTGAATCTTATTCTCACTACTACATAAGAGGAAATTCTAATTTATATGTTTAAAAATAATTTCAATTCTTGGTTATTATTTTTATTAATTGATTTTGATTATATTATAAAAGTGGCACCATGTAAGAAAATCCGAAATAAGAAAGTGACTGAGAATAACCCCAAGTGGCAAGTATGCTGATATCAGCTGAAATCAGGTAAGACCAAAGACAGCTGGCAAAGAATAAAGTGACTCACAAGCAGAAAGTCTTACATAACCCAGTCAGAGCAACCAAAGCCAATAAACTTGAAGGAAATGACACTTTAGGTGATGTGTATGGAGGGTTGTTGTCATGTTATTTTAACAGGCTTTACAGGGATTTGTTGACGACCTGATGCATATATGCAATCATCTATCAAGTGTTCTGTCTTCTTTAACACCCCATTCATTACATGGACACTATTGTAGTGGGCTTTTGAGTATGAATGTGTGACTGGATGTAGCTTAAGCAATTATAATCAATGAGCTAAAACATTACAGAGTCTCTATCTAGGTGCTGTTTTTCCTGGAATCTTCCCTTCCTTCCTAAATTCCTGAAGTTCAAATCTGTACCAATCCCAAATAGTATCAGTACCATTACAGTCATCATGGGAAATTGTATAAGTGTTAAAAGAGTCAAGATGGCATATCAAAAAGAATCATCATGATGCTGGTTTTAGTTATGCAACATACTTTTTTAAAAAAATGCTTGTATTACTATACAATCTATCACTGCAGTCATTTTGTATAATTTTATTGCTGCGTCATTTACTCATCTGAGAATTATGTAAAATTCTCATGCTTCAGCTAATTCAGACACTTCATGCAATTTGTATTGCCCTCTGAAAATACATGTTAAAATATCACCCCACCCATTGCTGCCTTCCTCCAGTCCCATTTCCATAGTGTTGACTTTACTAAGACTAGAAGAAATTTCAAGGGTAGCTAATTAAAAGAGTATACACAAGAGAAACAGAATAGAACATGTGTTAATTTTTCAGATTGCCCACCAAAACATTCTTAGGCCTTATCCATGTTTATTGGTTATACTTGTCAACAAACGATCAGATTTAAATTAATACACATCTGGTACCAACTGGCTGAGAAATATCTGAAAACATGGAAATAGTGTTGTCTCTATATCCTGCTTGTTAATTTCCAAGCAGAATGTAGGTTGCTGTGTTCAAAAATAAGTTACTAAGCAAAACAAACCCATGTATTTTTTTTTATTCTTAAATTAATTCTTGTTTAAATACTCTGGTAAGTCAAGATAATCAATACAGGCGGTCAGATATGCTGGCTCTTTGTGTGTTTTTAGTGTCTCATGCTTTACTTAGCATTACCCTGAGTTTCTGTTTTCTGTAAATTATGGTCCAGCTAGGAAATGCTGGTGGAAGCATTAGGAACAAATGATCCTGATTGCTATTGTTGACTGTGTATCTCTGTGCATAGTTGAATTGATGGGAGTGAATATATATATATTGTCTTGGTCAATTTAATCAGGAATATATATATATATATATCTCCCTGATTAAATTGACCAAGACTGAGATTAAGATGAAAGGATGTTGTATTGTATATTAATTAAGAAAACCACTTTGCTAATTATTTAAAACTTTGAATTGTCTAATCCTGAAACATGGCAGAAAAAAGAACCCAACAGTGAAACATTAAACCTTTAAAAATTACAGCATTAGTATTACAATTAAAATATTGCTAAGGGCTACTCCAAGTTACTGATTTGCCTTTAAATTACTGTTTTTCAGTAAATCCTCTGACTTTCACTTAATGCCAGAATGTGTAGTTTTTTTGGGTTTATTTTTTTTGTTTGTTTGTTTCTCATTCTTTGTGGGTATAGTTCTTTGAAGTTGCTTTCCTCATAATTGTTGTTGTTTATTTCCTGACAGTACAAATCATGTTGTTCTTTCATGGTCAGTCCTTGAATTAGTTTCCTTGTTGGTTTACAACCTGCTCATTGTCCTGCATAAAAATTTCAACACACTGTTTTACTTCTAGAACTAGATTGATTTTTTTTTAAACATTGTATCTTGTAATATTTACTTCATCTATGATCTAATCCCTACTTCAATGGACATAATTCATTTTTTTTCATTTCTTCCACCTTGATATCCAGATAAGTACTTTTCAAATTATCCCCATTTATGTATGTAGTATCTGCTAGATCCACAATATGATTCTGTGCTTGGCATGGCCTTAAGCCTCTAAAATGCTGTAGCAATAAGGCATGTGTTACTGTCTTGAAATTATGTTTTCAGTGGTACACAAGAAATAACACTACCTAGTGAATTGAACTAATTATGATTATTGGCTTTTTGCAAAATTCCTAATATCAGATTAAGCCTCCAATGTTTAGACAACATTTTGGGGGAAACAATATTTTCCTCACTTTGGGATGATACTGATCTTTAAGTTGTTTAAATAAGTTTATGTACTTGGCTTCACCTACATTTTGTTTCTAATGATTCAGGTCTTTTTTAAAAAAAGTATTAGAAGATGCAACACTGGGCTTATTTTGTCTGTTCTTGCCTTAATCAGGGTCAGGGCTGATTAATACCTTAATGGAAATCTACAAAAGAATGTCATAACTGTAGATAGATTGCAAAATTGGGAGTAAAAATCCATTCCAGAAGAAGTCAGTGGAAAACAACTTCAACTGCTTGTTCAAAGAAATATGAATATAAAACTCTAAATCTCTTGACTAAATGTACAGAGATAAGGGAAGCAAATGGCAAGTTGTCAGGATATAGCAACATTAGGACAGAGCTACCATTTAAAATCCGTATGCCAGCCGAGCACATGTAGAATTCACTGAGATAGGCAGAGATTGTATCTAACTGGTTAAGTCTGATTCATGCTAACTCATTTTCCCCTTATAACATAAACATACACATACACGTATACATACACATAAACACACACATGCTATTTGTACTAAATCTGAAATCTTGTTGTAAGATGTATAATTTAAGAAGGGGAGTAATTTGGGAAGAAAATTGGCAGCAGTAGCATTAAGGTGATGAAAAGGGATGGGCTGCAGGAATATTGTTAACACCAGTGGGAAGATGTTTAGAAGAATGGAATGGGCAAGCTGGTTGGAAGATAAAGCATGCCACTAGGAAGACGCTAGGAA